TGTATCAAAACTTTGACATACGGTATTAGCTCAACGTTTGATATACGTGATTGGGCGAATTGCGAGCCTTCAGAAGAGTAGGGCAAGCAGCACCATCTGGTTGTCAGGTGCACAACTTGATAATAAATTGCGAGAAAAAAATTTATTTTGTGGTGCATGCTATACAGTGTTGCCAGGTGATTGTATTGAGAAAGCGTCAGTTTGGTTATCAAAAAACGCCTTTTGCATGTAAAAATCGTCAACATGTAATAAAAATTTTAATAAACTGAACCAGGAAGCCTTTGGATTTTTTTTTCATTTATGCTAGCATCTGATGCTGTATGTAAGAATAAAAAGTTTTACGTTTTTTTTTTTACGAATTTAAAAGTTCGTATTTCTTTTAACAAAAATATTTTAATTGGAATAAAATCACAGGTTTATCGTAATTTTTTTGTTCTCAAACTGCAAGTTAACTATGTGCATTAAAAACTGTTCATACTCACTTAGTTTCCACCTGGCAACACTGATGTACTATTTACTGGCTTAGCCCGGTCTCGAACCCATAGTGAGGAAATTTTCTTTCGCCGTGCCAGGCCAAGTGGTGAAACTCACCACAAAACCACAAATGACACATTTTACGAGATTACAAATTTCACGGTGTGTTCGGGGAAATAGTGATCGAAAAGTTTGTACTACATAATGGTCTGTTCGATGCAATAGCAAATGGCAACAAATGTAATGGAATAAAATCTTATAGCGATGGTCACCTTCCACAGATCTGTTTTATACCCAAACACGAAACCTTACGCTCAAAGTCATAGAAAATAAAGAAGACTTTAACCGCTTTTTAAATTGAAGCTTTTTTATAAAAACGCCACTTTGTAGAGCTTTGTAAGTCTATTTATTTTTTAAGAGTAAGACCATTAGTCTATACTTAATACCGCACAAGTACGCGGAGACTGAAAGTCTGAATTGGCCCAGTTTTGTACTTCACCAAGTCAAAACAAATTAAATAAATAAACAAATAGTATATATATATATATATATATGTACATAAGTATATCACACGTATATATAAAATGTGCTTTCACGAGACATACAGGCATACATATATTCGCCACTTGCCACCCAACCCAAAACTAATAGTACGTAACTTTTTACACCTACGGACATAACTACGAGACTCATTTACAGAATGACTCGTTTCTCGGCTAATCGCGCACATGCGGAAGAACGCGCTAATAAATTCACGGTTCTATGCCGGCTATGCGGCGGAGCGCATCGCATTCGACTATGCCCCCTTTACCGCGGCAAAGCGGTCGAAGCAAGGCTGCGTGCAGTTCTGCTGTATAAATATTGCCCAAACTGCCTCTCGCACCCAGCGAACGCGATCAACAACGGCGAGAGCTCGGACGGGGCACTCTCTATCGACGTTACGGAGCAGACGAAGTCGTGGGCGCAGCAGGTCGAAGAGGAGGAGTTGGAGGAGTTAGAGAGGACAGACTCTTCCCCACATGAGCGACAAAAGCGCAACTCTGGAACTGGCACACCGAGACCGTTAGAGCAGTTACAACCACGCGCGGGCGACGCAGAAACTCGTTCTTTCCGCTCGCCAACGCGTACACAACACAACTGGCGCGACGCGGAAACTCGTCCTTTCCGCTCGCAAAAGCAATAACTTCCTGAATGACTGAAAATTTCATTCTGGATTTGGCACGTGTTAAGTTTGTTGTGGTTATTAAATTATTAGTGTTATTACATTCATTCATTTCATTTTCAGATTCGGAAATTAAGCGTGGCTGTTGCCGGTATTCCACATTGGTCATTTCCGAGCAACAATTTCAATTTTGCAAATGATTTGTAAAAGTTTCTCGCATGTAATGCCTTGGGAGCCGGATAAGCGCGCATACGAAAAAAAGCTACTGAATCCGAACTGGTCATATTTAGCAAAAAAGGCCTTGCATGGACAAATTTTAACTAAGGCCAAGAAACAAGCAAAATGTCCCGATTGCGAAGCGCCAAATGGTGGCGGAAAGAAAGGTCCAGGCTTACTAAGGATCTTACATGATTCCTGCACGGGTAAAAAGCCAGACGATATCATGACTGATGCGCTAAATGAGTTATTGCAGGCAACGGAAAATAATCGCGAGCTGCAGCAAATGTTAACAACCTACAATCAAGTGGAGGAGTTAAATCCCTTAACTGTTTTGGAGTTGTTTAAAAACTATACCCAAAAGCAATATACCATTACTCGGCATGACTTCAGATAACGCCAGCCCAGCAAATCTAATTGTAACACACGTTTTTTGTACCGCCTGTCTGCATACGACCTTCGGTGCTGTCCGAAGTTAAAGTCTTAGAGTAAGTGCAAAAGAATGGCTTATCGAACTTCTCATTTTCATAAAGAAACTTTGTTAGTTCACTGGATGATACCCAAATTACATCGACCAGTAACGATATTATGATGCCAAGTATGAGCTTTTGTGTTTTGTTTAACATTTTCCCTTTTACACAACACACTGTGTGGGCGTTCCCGTCCGCGTCGGCGTCGGCTCGCCGGAGTATAGCGTGGGGCGACGCGCTCGTATAGCTGTTCAACTTTTGACCTGACCGGCTTTAATGGATTTGGCACGTGGTAAGTTTATAGTAATTATTAAATTAATAGTGTTATACTTTATCACCGCTGCCAAATTGGTGCTTTTCGCACTAAATTTAGTGCTTTTCTTTATCCAAAACGCGAAAATTTTTTAGCCTTTGTTGCAGGAGTGTGAGCACTGCATTGCTACAGGCCACCTTCTTCACAAAATATTCACATGCATACCAATAGGTTTGCATTATATGTATATTTATATATAGACATTCTTTAAGTTTAATACCTATTCATTATTTTTATTAAAATGGAAAGAAATTCTGAAAAACCACTTTATTTTGGAAATTTTAAAACAAAACCGAAAAACTGATTCTATGTTTTCCCTTTTAACTGCTGCTTATACCTGGGGCATACCATTTACAGTTAATTCCACAAGTCATGTACTATAAAAGCTGGATCTACATTAGATTTATTAGAAATCGGCTGTTGTAAAACTAGCGATCACGTTATATAATTTTGTTTATTGAGTTTCAAAATGTACAAATATGTATCAACTTATACTGGGCACAGTTTACTAGCTGGGAATATTTTCTAGATTTTATTTGTATGTTTCGAACTTATTAACGAGCAACCAGTTTTAAATTGCTTTCAATGAAACTGAGATTTTGATTCTTTGATGCTTGAATTATCGTTTGTGATTTTTTAATCGCAGTCAATTGTTCTTCTCAAAGCACTTGAGACTCCCGGACTATGTATTGCAATATGCACACCGAGGGTAAAATGTTTACCATAACACAAAGGAACAAATTCGTTGCTAAGTTGCCTTTGTGCATATCGTTAGTATACAAAAAAGCCACGACTAACTGAAAAATTTTATATTGCATAAGATTAGGATTTTGGATTTTTAGTTAGTTACGGTTTTTTATATATCAGCGATGATGTGAGATACGCCCTTTCCGTACTATACTAACGATATATGTATGTATTTGTGAATATACATAAGTTTTGTAATTCTTTTGCCTGCTGCATTTAAAATTTTTCATAACTTTTTGTAAAAGTATGGAACAGTGCCCACGTGTTCTATTGCTTTTAAAACTTGGTTAATGGATAAAATTCATTGATCGCTTACACTCGAACAGTAAACAATGTGCGTGCGAAAATTAAAAACTATGTAAATGCTCTGCAACTCTTATAAAAATGTGAAACAAGAAAAATATTCATAATTATACATTTAGAAGGTGTTGTATTGTAAACATTGAAATTTACAGTGAAAGCCTCAATTGAGCATGCGTATGTGCGCTCTTAAAAAAAACGAAACATTATATACATATATAACTAATTAAAAGCTTTAAAATAAAAACTATGTATGTTTACTTTTGAATACGGCCTCATCGAGTGCGCTATAAGGACAGAGATATAAATACTTGAAAGAAATATATATCTCGAATTAAATCGGTTTTTTTTGTTAATGCGGTTCTTGCGTGGGTATCAAAAAGGTAATAATTTAAAAATTCACAGCTCCAACTTAGAAAATTAGAACCAATTTCGCCATTTCTATACATTTTGAACGTATGACTTTGATCACCTGTTAAAGGATCAGAGATGGTCGGTTCCGTGTTACCAGATCGACCCAGGGCTCTTGGGTAAGAACCATCACCTTTTTTTTTANTATTTGGTGTTTGAGAATGCTGAACTCTGAAACGCCATTGACATTTGAGATGTGGGATTGCGTAGGGAGTAAGAAGTGGAATAGGTGGGTTTTGTGAAGTGGAATACAGAGTAGGTAGGAAGTTTACTGCGAGGTGGTGCTATTTTCGTTGTAGGGCGGAAGTAGGACCAATTTTGCAATTGGCCTTCTGATTTCTCCCTTAGCTGTTTCGATGTCGACTACTCTTACTCGGTTGTCGGAACCTGGATGTAGCTTGACTATTCTACCCAATCTCCATTCGTTTGGTGGCAGGTTTTCCTCTTTAATGACGACAAGGTCTCCTAGCTTTAAGTTGGTTTGTGGATGTTTCCACTTGATGCGTTTCTGCATCTCGGTGAGGTATTCCATTTTCCATCTCCTACAGAATGTCTGGTGTAGGGCCTTCAGTTTCTGCCATCGATTTACGATTGAGGCTGGACTTTCATTTACATCGATTTCGGGTGGGGCAAGAAGATGCCCGCCGACCAGAAAATGACCGGGGGTAAGCGGCTCCAGGTCAGACGGTTCGTTTGAAGAGGGGCTTAGTGGTCGTGAGTTGAGACAAGACTCAATACGGCATAAGAGTGTGGTGAACTCTTCAAAAGTATATTTGTGGTCGGACGCGACCTTTTTAAAGTGGGTTTTGAAACTTTTCACCCCAGCTTCCCACAAACCGCCCATGTGAGGGGCCGCAGCGGGTATGAAATGCCACTCTAAGGCTTGATGGCTGTACTTAGTGAGGGTGCTATTGCGTGCCTCAGCTAAAAATGCTTTGAATTCCGATCGTAAAGATCGTGAGGCTCCGACAAAGTTAGTACCATTGTCGGAGTAAACGTTTTTTGGACATCCTCGTCTAGCAACGAATCTTGCGAAAGCGGCTAGAAAGGACGCGGTGCTAAGGTCGCTGGTAGCTTCAAGGTGAATGGCTTTCGTCGAGAAACAGACGAAGAGACAGACGTAGCCTTTTGACATGCGACATCCTCTGCCCCGGTAGGACTTGATGTCGAACGGGCCCGCGAAATCCACCCCCGTGTTTGTGAATGCACGGGAAAAGGTTGTGCGTTCTTTGGGAAGGATTCCCATAAGTTGAGTTTGCGACCGTTTCTTGTGGATCGTGCAGACCTTGCAGTTATGTATGACGGACCGTATCAAGTTTTTCACTCTGGGAATCCAATACTGCGATCGGATAAGTCGCAGCATCAGCTGGTTTTCTCCGTGCACGGAAATTTTATGGATAAACTGGACCAAGAGACGGGACATCCTACAACCATACGGAAGAATGATAGGATGACGTTCATTGTAGGACAGATCGCTAGATGCGCTCAGACGACCACCAGCCCTCAGAATCTCATCTTTGTCGATGAACGGGTTAAGAGGCAGGATTTCACTTTTTCCGTCGATGGATTTTCCAGATTTTAACCTTGTATATTCTTCGCTGTAATATTGTTTTTGACAAATTGTTATTAAGCGTTGGGTCGTTGTTTTAATTTCGTTGGCCGAAATTGAACGACACTCCGCTTTAAAGGAAGATTTCGTTTTGGGATTGATTCTTTGATAGAATCTCATAATATAAGATATAACTCTCAAAGCCCGTGATAAATCAGAAAATCGATCGAGAATGTCGTGAAAGTCTTTTACTTTTGTTGTTGCATGAACATGCACCCTTTTTTCTTCAATGGTTGTGTCAAAGTCCGATTCTTGTGCTGGCCATCTCGAATAGTCTTCTTGTAACCAAGAAGGACCCTGCCACCACAAGGAGTTGTTGACTAGATCACTCGCCGAAAGTCCTCTACTCGCCAGATCTGCTGGGTTTGATGCCGAATCCACATGACGCCAGTTTTCGGTTCCCACCTTGTCTACAATTTTTGTTATTCGGTGAGCAACGAAAGTTGACCACGAACACGGTGGTTTCCGGATCCATGCGAGGACTATTGTCGAATCTGTCCAGAGATTTATTTTCAAATGTCCAAGACTCAGATTTTCGACGACCGCTTCTACGGTTTCCGAAAGCAAAACTGCGCCGCAAAGTTCTAAACGGGGTAACGATACTGTTTTGACGGGCGCTACCTTTGTTTTTGCCATTAGAAGGCTGACCACAACTTTTTCCGCAGTCTTAACTCTCAAGAAAACAGTCGCCGCGTATGCTTTCTCCGAAGCGTCGCTGAATCCATGTATTTCGGCGTCATCTGTTTGCGTAAAGTGAACCCATCTTGGTATGCGAATGGTATTAATGTCCATGTAGTCGTGCATAAATGCCTGCCAACGGTCTAATGTGGTCGGAGACACGGTATCGTCCCAACCAGTTCCCTCCAACCAAATATTTTGCATAATGATCTTGGCGACAATTACCACTGGAGCGAGCCAACCGAGCGGGTCAAACAGTTTGGCGATAGCTGAAAGTATCGCTCTTTTAGTGATGACGTCACGATTTTCTATTGGTTTTGCTGTGAAATAGAAGTAGTCAGATTTGGCATTCCATCTGATGCCAAGTGCTTTTACCGTACTAGACTCTTCAAACTCTAGAAAATCGTCGGTGAGTAAATGAGATTTCGGTATACCTTCAAGTATTTTACTGGAGTTCGAAGTCCACTTTCTTAACGGGAACCCTGCTGAATCCAGTACCTGTAGTATTTCTTCTCGAGCTTTAATCGCTGCTCCGATGCTGTGTCCTCCAGCAAGTACGTCGTCCACGTACATACACTTTCGCAAAATTTCGGATGCGATTGGAAACGAGCTCTCGACCTCATCAGCTAGTTCATGCAATGTCCTTATCGCGAGATAAGGAGCACAGTTGATGCCAAAAGTCACCGTTTTTAATTCGTATAAGCTAATTGGTTCTCTTGGGCAGGTGCGAAAAACTATGCGCTGATATTTCGTTTGATTCTCATTTACAAATATTTGCCGATACATTTTCTCTATATCGCTGTTGAAGACGTATTGGAACAGTCTCCAACGGAGTATGAGGATCGTTAAATCGGCCTGAAGTACAGGACCTGGAAGGAGGACATCATTCAAACTCATGCCATTAGCGGTTGGGCATGATGCGTTGAATACAACCCTGACCTTTGTAGTGGTACTTTCTTCCTTTAAAACGGCGTGGTGCGGTAAAAAATAGCAGTCCGTTGAATCTGGTGAAATGTTTTTGTTAATTTTTGACATATGTGCTAGTGTCTCGTATTCAGATACAACCCGGTTGTACTCTGTTTGAAGGACAGGCTTTTTCGCTAGTCGCGTCTCGTTCCGGTAGAACTGAGAGCATGCACTTTTCATCGAAGGTCCTAAGCACACATTTTTCGGAAAATCCCGTTTAAAAGGTAGAGACACAATGTATTTTCCATCGGTATTTCGTGTTGTAGTTGCTTTGAAGAGCTCTTCGCAGTATTTATCATCTTCGTTGATGCCTTTTTTCTTTGGGACATCCTCCAGCTCCCAAAATGCAGCTAGCTGCTTGTCCAACGTGACTTCGTTAAAATACGATACGATATTGTTAGTTGGACTGACTGAATCCGCGCGACCAGTCAGTATCCAACCGAACACGGTCTCTTGCGCGAGAAGCGTATTTAATACGTTCTTCCTCATTCCGCTTAAAATTATTTGCGGGTAAATATCTCCTCCTAAGACCAGGTCAACTGGCTCATTGACGAAGAATCTTTTGTCCGCCAAGACCAAGTCTGGGAACGATTGCCGCGTCATTGCGCTTATCTGACAAGTCGGAAGATCCCCGGTTAATTGTGGTAAAACCAGCACAATTGCTTCTATATTAATTAACGGGTCTGTGGGTGACCGAAGTTGAATAGCACACGCTTCTTTTACCTGCGCAGATACAGAGTTATTGATGCCCGAAACTTGGGCATGCAAGCGTTTTGATGGCAGGTTGATTCTCCGTTTGAGTCTCTCAGTAATGAACGAGCACTCAGAACCAGAATCTATAAGCGCTCTAGCCGAAAAATGTATACCATTATAGTGTATGTTTACGCGTGCTGTTCCTAACAAAACTCCTTTACTTGTATTTGCGTAACAAGAATTTACATTTGTAACCGATTTGATGTTTCCTTTTTCAGATTCGCGTCTTGATTGAGCCTGGTTTGGAGTAGATTCCACGCTACCCGATGGATCAGTTGTCGCTTTTGGCTGAATTGGCATATGGAGCAACTTGTGATGTCTCGAATGACAAGTGCTGCAGTTAAATGAGCTGGTACATCTTGAGACTGTGTGCCCAGCAGATAAACAATTCAAGCAACTGCGAATGCTCTTCACGTAATCTACTCGCTCCGTCGGCTTTAGACGCAAAAATCTGTCGCACTTTGATAGCTTGTGTACATTGCTGTTGCACATTTTACATGTTGCCTTTGCTACACTGGCTTGAAAGGCGCCAAGCTTTTTTGCAGGCGTCTCTGCAGAATTCCGAGAGCTTGGTGGTTTAGGTTTCGAAACTATATCTCCCCTAAGACCTGTCACGGTTTCCAGTGTTTGAAACCGATTGGATAGGAATTTATCCATATCTACCCATTTGGAAATCTCAGTTTTATTTTCTATGGTTTGCTCCCATAGTGCCAGTGTCGTTTCTGGCAGTTTTGTCGAACACAAATATGTGAATATTGCATCCCAATTTGAAACATCAATCTGATGACACTGAAGCGACGAGATGCAATTATTTATGTCGCGTTGCAGTTTCTTGATGGAGCTACCGCATTCACTCTCAACTGCGTTTAAATTAAATAATACCTTTAATTGGGCATTGACCAGGATACGTTTATTTTCGTACCTGTCACAAAGATTTTTCCAGGCCGCACCAAAGCCATCGTTGGTTAATGGGGATCTCTGCACTATTTCCTTGGCCTCCCCCTGAGTTTTTTGCCGGAGGTGATACAGCTTCTCAACTGGGGTAAGGCGCTTATTTAGAATGTATATAGCCGTAAACATATCCCTAAACGATGGCCACGAAAGATAATCTCCTTTAAAAATGTCTGTGTCGCAAGGAGGGAGATGAATATTAAGCTCGCGACCTGACTTGTATTCGCTTTCCTTTTCAGTCTTTGCGAGTTGCTCTGAAAGATCAGCCATTGCTGCTTGGCACCGCAAAAAACTGAAGTAGGTGCTTTTATACTTCTTTTTAATTGCTGCCAGGTCTTTGGTTTCGAGCTCTTTTGATGCGCAAAGTTCATCATAAGACCCTTTTACCTTTTCCCACAGAGCCTTTAATTCATCCTTTTGGAAAGTTAAGGAGTGCTTTGTGTGCTCTGATGGCTGCATAGAGTTGTAGTCAGATTCGAATTCTGTTACTGAATCTGCCTGACGAATAAAGGTGTCCATTTTTGACCAAAGGCAACTGAGGTGGACGCAAGACAAAAGATTTCTTTGTGTGAATCGCCGCTTCTTAGAAAAAGATTGCCACTAAAAACGCTTCGCCCGAAATAAGTCTAATTCTTATAAGAACAACAAAAGATAACTTGTGTATTTAAATAACGATTTATTTATTTTCCAGCCAAATAAGACTGTCGAATACGTAATTACGTATGTGTATGTGCGTATATGCAAAAAATGTGCAAGTCACTCGCCACCCAACTTATCAAATATGTGATATACGTGTGTAAATAATTGATATTCAAAATATGCAGTTTATTTTAAAAATTTCTTATGAAGAAATTGTGTTTGTTTAAGCGCGGCTGTGATTTTATGCAACCAACAAATAAATGGGGGAAACAACCCAGTGAAGTGATCAGCAATATGTACAAGCGCGCCACTAATAATAGACAAGTGCAATGTGAAAAGAAACCAAAGGAGTTTCGCAAAATCTACTTGAAGTTACGCGATTAATAAAATGCAAATAAAAGTGAAAGCCAGTAAAATGAGAAAAAACTAAATTCTGTGCTTTGCAAGAAAGGAATAAATTTTATCAATCTTGTGCTTCGGTAAATGCGACTGGTATTTTTACACAAACAACACCGTATCACGAATCAAAATGGACGTTCGCGAAATTCGTTAATGTTAGCCGGTACCCCACTAAAACGTGAAAAGTGTTCTAATTTTTATTTAAAAAAAATAATAAGCACTGAGTGTTTTCTCCCCTTTTTTGCTTTACACAATAATCACGCGCGTTTTTTTCCAAAATATGTATATCACCACAGTTTTTTATTTATTTTTGACGATTTGTACACACACAAGTGCAATGAAATTAAACCACGTACCTTAATGTGTTGTTATATGCCGTGTAGTGCGATATGCTGCTTTATTAAAAAATGTGTTGCTGACACTAGTGGTGCTGTGATGCAAACGTGATGCTGTGATGCAAACCAAAACGTTGATTTGATGAACAGCCGGTTGAGCGATGAACCAAAAAACGCTGCTTGTGTAGCAAACCAAAGAAAAAACGCTTGATGTGGCTCTTGTGGCACGTTGGTTGTGGCAGTTGCTGTGATGCTATGTGGACGAACGTGATGCTGGTGGCGATCGGTTGAGGCAGTTGAAAAAACTCAGATGAGATGCTGTGTGGACTGTATAATGTGGTTACTTTTTAGGCTCGAAGACCAATATTTACGCAGGTGGCGTCGCACGAAGATGGAGCGCACCAGCGTAAAGTTAATGTAACGAAAAATAAGAGTAAATAAAAGACACAGTGGTTTTAGTACAGTGAAATCAAATTCGTTTTATTTGTAGTTATCTGTGCTTTTAAATATTTTCATACACAAAAATTGGCTTACCAAACGAGGTGTGACAGCTGCGGTATCTCCTTTCAGACGGTCTTCTAAGAAGTGAAAAAGTGCCAACAAACGAAAAGGGATGTAGCCCACCGCACAGTAACTTTCGTTAAGTATAAAATCTTTTATAGCGCAACATACAAATATTAGCGGAGACTAAAAAAAAAAAATACAAAATTTGAGACTAAATTTAAGTCATATTACTTGGTGAATTTATATAAAATGTATTTAATAATCGTATAAGGAAAAATACGTAAAAAAAGAAAAGATAAGCGATATAAATAGAATTAATGAAATAAATTACAGATGATGATTAAAACATTGATTTAGATGGCCAGTTTAAACCTAATTTTGAGAAAAATAATTATAAATAACTTGTCTGTAGTTGCTTTGGTTCATANTTTAGATGGCCAGTTTAAACCTAATTTTGAGAAAAATTATTATAAATAACTTGTCTGTAGTTGATTTGGTTCATAATGTTCTTCGTAGCAGCCGGCATGGAGTTCCAAATACGTATTGCATTGACGAAGAACAGCCTTGTTGAACTCACATAATTAAAGTCTGGCACAACCAAATTACACGAGCGTGCAGATTTGCAAAAAACAAGTTTATTGTATAAGTAAGTGGGTGTCTTTGTTGATATCAGACGATATAAGAATATGCAGCTTCTAGCTTTTAGGTAGTCAACTATGTTACAGCCTAACAGCCGAGTTCTCCAAGCAGAGATGTGATCATATCTACGCAAACCATAAACGTAGCGCGTAACGTGATTGAAGACAACATCAATTTTGTGGGCAGAACGTGAGTCTAACTTATTATAAACTAATTCAGAATAGGTTATAATTGGTAAGATTAGCTGCACGGCAAGTTTTCTTCTAATGTTAACGGGCGTAAACTTTGCAGATTGCGCAAAACACAATAAACCTTACCTACCACAGAGTTCTTATGATCAGTACATGTCATATTCGAGTTTATAATAAAGCCAAGATTTTTAATTATATTAACGGTTTTCAAAGTAGTGTTACCAATGCAAAGTGGAGGAATTTTGTCACTAGGGAATTGTTTTTTTGAGATTGGCAACACATACGATTTATCAGCATTCAAACAGAGTCCATTGGCAATCGTCCAGCACAAAATGTTTGCAAGATCACTATTAACTTTACGAGAAAGATCACATCGATTACTAAAACTACCAGACAAATATAACTGAATGTCATCAGCATATGCATGCATACTTACAAATTTACAAACAAGAAACACATCATTAATAAAAAGACTAAATAGCAAGGGTCCAAGAATGGAACCCTGTGGAACACCAACACTTATATCCCTTGACTCCGATACTTCATGTCCAGTGCTTACATATTGAGATCTGCCAGCCAGATAACTTTTCATTATCGATAAAGAACTATTACTGAAGCCAAAATATTCTTTTAGTTTAAAACATAGCAAAGTGTGGTCAACCGAGTCAAATGCTTTGGAGAAGTCAAGTAGACAGAGCAGCGTTAATTGGCTTTTCTCATAGGGAATACGAATGTCGTCAAGTATTTTTAATAGCGCAGTTGAACAACTATGCTTAGCTCTAAAACCCGACAGGTAAGGCGAAAGTAAATTACTTCGAATTACATGAGAATTAGTTTGTTCAGCTAATATGCTTTCAAAGACCTTAGACAGGGCAGGTAATATACTTATCGGCCTGAAATCACTAGAAGAGTTAGGAAATTTATTTTTTGGGACAACACACACAATCAGGGAAACAAGACGTCGTTATACAATGATTTAAAACATGTGTAATAGCACTTAAAACAAGAGGTAGTATTGTTTTAATAAATTTGATCGGAATTCCGTCTACACCAATTGCATTGGACTTAATCCTAAAAATACTTCGCTTTACATCTCCGTCAGTAACAGCTGAGAAATCAAAGGGTTTCCCTGAATAACACGCAGAGCCACAGGACACAAAATTAAGACTTGCACCATACACTGGACTTTTAATAAAGGCATTATCAAGGTAATTTGCGCCAAGGTTACAATTTGGTTCCCCTTTGCCATACACACGCAAGCTTTTAAGATTGCACCATAAAGTCTTAGGTGGAAGTTCAGGATTAAGTTTTGACTTAAAAAAAAATTTTTTTTCTATTCTTATCACCCTAGTGGCCATGTTTCTGGCTGATTTGTAATTTTCCCAGTTTGCATCTGTTCTATTCCGCTTCCAAAGGCGGTAAGTTTTATTGCGGGCTTTAATAGCAGCCAGAACTTTGCTATTATACCATGGACATGACTTGGACCTACTTTTGCACAAACGAATAGGAACAAATTCATTGTATGCATCTAGTATCTTTTTATTTAAAGATTCAAGTTTCTCATTCACAGTAGCATAACACCAACATTCATTCCAACTAACACAAGACAAAGCAGAAAGTAGTTTGCAATTGTCAATAAATCTATAGTCCCTAAATGTAAAAGTGATATCTGTCCTGGAGCGGTCAAGTTTAAGGTCAAAGGTACAAAAAATTAAATCATGGTCAGATAAGAACGATATTTGGTCAAATTTTAGTATAAAGGCAGTGTCAGAGATAATAAAATAGTGAAGTAAGCTAGGGCAACAGTTTTTAGCATATCTTGTCGGTACACACATATTGACAACAGAAAGACCAGCACTAGCTACATCATCTAACAGACCAACACTATACGAATCACGAACAAGAAGATTAACATTGAAGTCACCACACACAATTATATTATCATAGTCAACAACATAAGACGATACGTTGGCAAAGAATGAATTAACACTTAAGGTTTTATGGGGATTAAAAACATTAGCTAATAATACTTTGGAAGTAAAATTATATAACTCAACCAGTAGATATTCAGTACCAGGACAGTCTGATTTTAGAATAGGCCTCATATTGATGTGATTTTTACAATAAATCGCTACACCTCCTCCCTTTTTGTTTGTCCTGTCGTTTCTTATGAGTTTGTAATTATTTATATTAAAATGCATGTCATCAAGATCCTCTGAAGACCAGGTTTCAGTAACACAGATAACATCCACTTTGGAAAACACAAACACGTATCTAATAAAGTAAATTTTTTCGGCATTTAAGCTTCTGGCATTAAAATGAACAACGTTGAAGCCACTAGTCTGATCACACACAACAGCAGAGCTGTTATTGCCAATGGCAGGTATATTGCTGTTACATGACACTGTTGAATACATGAACCAGAGCAACTACGTTAAAATAAGAAAATTTTAATAAAAAAAACAGATTTAAATGGACCACCTTTACATAAGAGAGCTTAAGAGGGAGAATATAGATTAGGTTAAGACAATACCACAAAGCTTTAAACATAACTAACATTATCATTTTGGCAAATAAGCAAATCATCCGGAGTAGAAATTTTTACAGCAGCAGAATCTTTGCTTACTCTAACATAAACTGCACCTCTCAAAGTAAATGTAGATGTCAATTTATCTGCTCGCCTTAATTTCACAGCTTCTTGTAAAAGTTTTCTGTTTTCCACTGATAGGCTTTCGAATATTTTAAATTGACCCTCAGCCCAACCACATTAAGAGATATCACAAATTTCGTTCTCTTGCGATGTTCACTGAAGGCTCGAAGCGTAATAACAACGTTGCTTACTTTATGCTGCGAACGCCCTATTCGAAAAGTTGGTTGTAATTCCTCCGAGAAGATCAGTCTTTGTCTCTAGATTTTCTAAAGACACTTCTTCGGATGATATAAAGTCCTACATATCGCGATATTTCATCTTTTAAAATTAATGTAGCTTCCGAAGATTTTGATTAACTGCTAAATAACTCATTTTGGCCGACCGGGGCGTTTACTCGCGAGTTTGAGTATAAACTTTATAAAAGTAGCTAAAATTTCTCACCTTAATTCTGATTCAAAAAACTAACTCGCAAGTCTAATTTAAGTATCTACTATCAAAACGTTAGAGGTTTGAATATCAAATTAACTGACTTATACCAGTATATACACAGATAGTTTCTTTACTTGAGTCCGTAAATGCAATGCTTACGCCTTCCGACTCTATAATTGTTTTGGGTGATTTTAATCTGCCACACATTTCATGGAACATTATTGACACCGATGTTGTACCAGTTTCATCTAGAGATAGTTACAATGTATTTCTGGAGGAAATGGCTGAACTTTGCCTAAAACAAATAAATATATGTCCAAATAAGTTTGGAAAGGTCTTGGATCTCGTTTACGTTGAGGATGTTCCGAAGTCCTCTATTAATCGGTGTGATCCCTTAGTTTTGCGAGAGGATGCATACCATCCCGCTCTTGAGTTAAGCTACGAAATCATAAATGCAATACATAATAATAAGTTGTATAGTTCAAGTACTAGATATGTTTTCGCGAAAGCTAATTTCAGAAAAATTAACAAAGAACTTTCAAAAATATCTTGGCCAATATATAGAGATGACGTCGAGCGTTGCGTTGAACACTTTAATGATACTGTTTTCAATTTGTTTCGAAAGTATGTACCGAAACGTAATATTGTTCATGAAGAACCAACTCAATTATAGTTCACTAAAGATCTTAAAAAAGTGAAAAATAAAAAGTCGCATTCTTTTAAACTGTATAAAAGAACGGGCTTACACAGTGATTACATAAAGTACTCGGTTTTGAGGCATAGCTACTTTGCATTAAATAAGAAATATTATAAGTCATATTTATGTCAAATTAAAAAGAATTTAATAAACAAACATAAATCATTTTATGGTTTCGTAAATTCAAAGCGTAAAGCACATGGATTTCCGTCCGCTATGCACTATCGCAATACTGCGTCTAGCGGCAGCCGATCATTGCCAACATGTTTGCTCTGCTCTTTGGGTCAATTATTCGGTAGACTCCTCTACGAGTGGAGACTATCCGTATGAACTTTGTACGATTAACTCAGCTTTTATTCCAGCAATTTCCTCCGATGAAGTTTTACACTATTTAAAAACCTTAAAAGCGTCATTCAGGCCTGGACCTGATCACATTCCGACCTGTTTCCTTAAAAACTGCGCTGAGAATATCTGTGAGCCTTTAACAACTCTATTCAACTTGTCACTAAAACATGGCGTTTTTCC